TAATTCTCCAGTCATCCTGTTGTCCTGCCATTTCTCACCCCATTCTGTCTGTGGGGCTTCCTGAAGCCCAGCTCTGCCTTCAGCACAGATTTCCACTTCAGTGAAACACTTCATCTCCAACTTTAGCAGGACTCTTAGGAAGAACTCTTCTGCTCATTTTTTAAAACCTATGATATTCAACCAGCTATATTTCAAACATTTGGTCACCTCTAGTTCCCTCTTTTGTTTTTGTTTGTTTTGAAAAGCTAGGGCTCAAACAATCCAGGGGCCCATGTGCTAGGTGAGCACTGTTATACACTGAGCTGCACCCCCAGCTAGCTTTCTTATAGCACTTCTAACTTCCTCTTCCAACTCACAACAGGAAAAAAAAACTCCTTTTCGTGGAGAAAAGGAAGATTATGAAGCATCTGTGACCCCATAGTGCTCTCTAGTGACCAAAATTAAAAATAAAAAATCTTCTCACAGGCAAATTTCTTGAAATAGAGGCTGTTTTCTTTTCCTCGCATTTCACTCTGAGAAAATTCCTGTAGACTTCCTTCTGACTACAGTTCAGTTCTGATTTGTTACATCACTATAGATCAAATGGTGGAACAGATTTTCCTTGGCTTCCATGATACCATGCTTCCTTTTGTTTTTCCCTGGAATAAATGACTATTCTTTTTAGGACCCATACGGGTGGCCAAATGCCTCCTTGGAATCACCTTAGCTGCTCTATAGGCACCTCGGGCCCATGTCTACAGCATATGTGCAAATCTCTACTATGGCTTCTCTCAGACTTTCTCGMATCTGTTCCCTGTTCCATTATCATATTCAGGAAGACCTTCCCTGATAACTCTTCTTGTGAAATGACAATACCTTGCCTCACTCAAGATACCCCATCCCCTGGTTTGCTTTCTCCATAACACCCATTGTCATCTGGCACATGTAACATATGTTTACTTTGTTACTAGGTTTAGTATTTGCTTCTCTTCATTACAAGATAAGTGCTATGAGAACAGAGATTTCCCTCTGGTCCCAGCTGTGTGCCCACTGACTATAGTAAGCTTTCTAGATATATCTGATGAATAGGGCTGGGGCTGTGGCTCAGTGGTAGAGCACCCCTAGTACCACAAAATAAGTAAATAAAATAAACTGTAAATCCAATCATGTTACATCTTGATGAATATTGTTAACTTCCCCCACGACTTTCAGAACAAAGAGAACTGACATAATTTGGCAAACATCTCTGATAAGGTATACCTCTCCAGTCTCATCTATCACCTCTTTCTTTTCCCCTCCTGTTTACCAAAGGGGACAAAAACAGACTGTTTACACCATCTGAATTCAAGCTCTGGCCACATAGCTCATTCTGGTGAACACTGGCAATTCACTGACCTTCTCCAACTCTCCTTCCCCTTCTACATCTGCAGAATGGAACTAGTTATGTACCTGTCTATCATAAGACTCTGTGGGCACATAATGAGTGCTAAATAAACAGTACCTAGAGTTCTTATTATTGTTACTTCAAAAACAATCCATTCTCCACCTCTTGCTGCTCTTCAAGCTACACTTCTGCCTATTCTTTACTTTACTATCATTCATCCTACAGGATAATTCCCTTGATTTTTATACCCCACCAATTTTATTAAATGCTCATTTTTTGCTTTCAAAGCATTATTTGCATACTTTCTGTCATAGTGCTTGATCYGCTGCATAGTAATGTGTTAACTGACTGTAATCTACTCCTACTCCTCTACCCTGCCCTCTGTATACTGTGAATTCCCTGAAGGGTGGGTTTTATTTATTTTCATATCTGCAATCCAATAAAGTGCCTGGAACACAGTACACATTCCATAAATGTCCCCAAAAGGAATAAAATAAGGCCAGGCACAATGGAGCCTACCTGTAGTGCCAGCTACTAGAGAGTTGGAAGTGGGAGGTCAGTTTGGGCAACATAATGACCATGTCTTAAAAAAAGAAAGAAAATGAAACTTTTTCTTATTATGTTAGCACTTAAGACTCACTGTTATCATACCTGAACACAATTTTCAGTTTTAATTTCTAATATTACCTGCCAAGCCACACTGATTTCCTATTTATATGCTGGAGACCTCTTGTTTTCGTTGTTTTGTTTTTCCAACATTTCACCACATGTATTTAGAGACCTTTTGACTTCTATGAATTCCTTCCCTTACTTTATCAAGTCCAGACTCTTCCCCTCCCCCATGTTCTCTTCAAATCCCATTTTCTTCATGGGGACTACCTGGCATTAATTAAAACACTGTTCAGTGCCAGCAGGGTGGCACAGCCCTGTAATCTCAACTGTCAGGAGGCTGAGATAGGAGGATCCTGAGTTCAAAGCCAGCCTCAGCAAAAGCAAGGTGCTAAGCAACTCAGTGAGATCCTGTCTCTAAATACAAAATAGGGCTGGTGATGTGGCTCAGGGGTTGAGTGCTCCTGAGTTCAATCCCTGGTACCCCCCCMCMCAMAMAMAAAAAAAAAAACTTCATTCTCCCAATGATAAGTTTATGAGATTTGTTGTTGTTCTGAGCCACATCCCTAGCCCTGTATATTTTCATTTTTGAGACTGGGTCTCTCTAAGTTGCCCAAGCTGGCCTCAAATTTGCCATCCTCCTGCCTCAGTCTTTTGAGTACTTGGAATTGCAGGCATGTGTCATCAACACCCAGCTCATTCCAAGCCTTGTTTTTTTTTTTTTTTTCTTTTTATTGGCACATTATAATTATACATAACGGTGGGGGGATTTGTTATAATATATCCATACGTGTACACAATAAAACAGTATAATTTGATCAGTTTCAAACCCCAGTACCTCCCCTTTCCTTCCCCTCCCTCCCCCTGGTCCCCTTTTTCTATTCTACTGGTCTTCCTTCTATTTTTTTTTTATTTGTTCTAATTAGTTATACATGACAGTAGGATGCCTTCTGACACACTGTACACAAATGGAGCACAACTTCTCCTTCCTCGGGCTGTATATGGTGCAGGATACACCAGTAGTGTAATCATACATGTACATAGGATAATAATGACTGTCTCATTCTACTGTCCTTCCCATCCCCACAGCCACACCCCTCCCCTCACTCCCCTCTGCATAATCCAAACTTCCTTTTTTCTTCCCTACCTTTCCCAACTTTGGATCAGCATCCGCTTATGACAGAAAACATTTGCCAAGTCTTGTTTTTGGTTTTTGTTTTTGTTTTTTTGAGACTGGCAGCTTCTAGTTAAGTTGCTCAAACTGGCCTTAAACTTGCAATCCTCTTGACTCCGCCTCCCAAGTCACTGGTATTATAGAGTATATCATCACACCTGGCAAAACACAGAATATTAACAGAAATTGTTCAGATTGCTAATGGAGACAACTGAGCAAATAAAGATTATTAGGTGAAAAATAATGTACTGTACTAATTTCTTTAATATCTTAAATTCAGGCTTCTAAAGAAACAGGAGCTATATTTATACCAAAGGTAAGGATATATAAAGGTGCTTCAAACACTGAAAAACACGTACTTTTAGAACTCTTTTGTCTATTAAAAAAAATAGCAAGGGTAAGTTGGTTTACTGGATAATACATCTTATTATGATGTGTTTTCTCGTGTCTTTCAGATATAGAACTCTGCAGCTGATTTCATTAGGTGTACCAGAAGAAGAGTGAAGGAGAGATCTCAACCACCCAAAAGAACTTCACTGTGGCAATAGGGGGATTGGTTACACTTCATCAGACAAAAAGGAATTGTTTGAAAGTACCGGAATGGTATTTTAGTTCATAGGACTGCCTTCTTCCTGGTTATTCATTTGCCTGCATAACAAAAATCACTCATCTTTTTTCTGCAATTATTCTTACATTGATTAAAAAGAAAAACATCTTTTAATGTCTTAGAACACTCTATAGGTAAAAAGTGCAAGAATTTAAAATATTTTTTTATATTCCTATAATCTCCAAAAGTGTGTTGTATATGTTTAATTCTTAAAATAAATGCTAAATTGGTGAAATGAGTTAGACATTATTACCCTAAGTACATGTATGAAGACACGAATGGTGTGAAAATACTTTGTGTACAATCAGTGACTTGAAAAATTGCGCTCTATATGTGTAATAAGAAATGGATTGCATTCTGCCATCATGTATAACAAATTAGAACAAATAATTTAATAAAAAAAAGAAATGCTAAATCTAAAATCAAGTGCACTGACTGGCTTTGAAGAATATGAAGAAAATTCTTGATTAATTATTTATACTGAACGACTAAGAAAAAAACTATTTGTATTATATGATAAATTTTAGTGTTTATAAAAGTACGGTTTTTATTTTATGAATAATATTCACTAGAAGTCCAGAAGAAAGCATAAAATACTAATTGTAGTCCATGTTATTTTAAAAGGGAAATGTTTATTTCTCAAAAATTTTTTCTCATCATGTAATTTTAAGAAGCCACTTTATTTTCCTTGAATGTTTTGTTTTATGGCCTGGATCATTTTGTATAGATAGTTCCTTAAACAGCCTGGCTTAGTTAACATTAAAATAACAGTTATGCAAGCAGGCACAGTGGCACATGCCTATAATCCCAGCAGCTCACCAGGCTGAGGCAGGAGAATCATGAGTTCAAAGCCAGCCACAGCAACTTAGCAAGGCCCTGTCTTAAAATAAAAAAGGGCTGGGAATGTGACTCAGTGGTTAAGTGCCCCTGGATTCAATCCCCTATAAAAAAAAAAAAAAAAATAGTTATGCCAATGATGCCCTAACATGACAAAAATCTGTATCTAATAGGTGACTGTTTATCATTCTGATAAGCTTTGTTTTGATGCTGTTCAACCTGTGATAGATATACAAATAAAAAAATCAGAAAAAAATTAGAAATATGATTACCCAAAAAGGAAAACTATTATCTAGATCTGAATAACTAGGTATTCCCAAGTGGTTAAATGTTATTAGTTTGTATTTATTGAAAGACTGTTAGCTTAGTGACACAAAGTTTAAGTTAATTCCAGATGATGAGTTTACAAAATCATACCTTGAAACTTGTAAACATTGTAAACATTATAGAGTAAGAAAAGATATTAAATTAGTAATCTTTATTTGCTAAAAATAGCAGTTTGGCATTAATGTTAAAGAAAATGAAACAGAAAAATCTCAAAATATCATGGAGTTTGTCTTCCTGTCAAGGTTTATTTAAAAATGTCTTTTGGAATAAAAGGTACTTAAGGCACTGAAATTAAACTTATATATAAAATTGTTTATCTCATTAAGTTAGATGTTATTGGGGAACTCCTAAATAATTTTCTGGATAAATTATAATTCCTTTCCACAAGTGCACCTTGAGTAGAAACATAAGCTATTGTCAATTATATGTATATTTAAAACAAACTCACTTGTATACTATACATATAAAACACTTTATACAATTCAAATACATCTCATTCAATAAAGCCTGTATTTTTCAAGTATGAATTCTCATATTCACAGAAGAACAGTTAAAAATCAGCCTTAATAATGTAATTAAGTGGCTATTGATTTCTGCTCCTAATAATTTAATAAAACACTTGGTGACTTGAGTGTCTGCTCTGTGTGTGTGTGTGTGTGTGTGTGCGCGCGCGCGCTTGCAATCATGACGAATGCAGGGTGTGGATACTAGTGATTAAACCCAGAGGTATTCTACCACTGAGCTATATCCCCAACCACTTTAATTTAATTAATTAATTTACTTAGTTTTGGCTATGGAGATTAATTTAGGGGTGCTACATCCCAGGTCTTTTTTATTTTTTATTTTGAGATGGGGTCTGCTAAATTGCTGTGGCTGGTCTCAAACTTAAAATCCTTATGCCTCAGTCTCCCAAGACACTGGAATTGCAGGCATGTATCACCAGGCCCAGTCCTATTTATTTAGTTATGTATTTGGGTACTAGGGATCAAATCCAGAGAGGCTTTACCACTGAACTACTTCCCTAGCCCTTTTTATTTTCTGTTTTGAGATGGGATCTCGCCAAGTTGCTTAGGGCCTAAATTGCATCCTCCTGCTTCAGCCTCCCAGGCCTCTTGGATTACAGACATGCACCACTGCATCCAGCTCCTTTTACTTTTTTTTTTTTTTTTTTTTGAGGAGGTACTGGAGATTTAACCCATTGGATACTTTCCCAACTCTTTTTTTTTTTTCCCCAACTCCTTATTTTGAGACAGGGTCTCACTAAGTTGCTGAGGCTGGCCACTGGTCTTGACTTGTGATCCTCCTGTCTCAGTCTCCCAAGCTGCTGGTATTACAGGCATGTGCCACCATACSAAGCTATTTTGTATTTTGAGACAAACTGCCAAAATTGGACTTGAATTTTTTATTTCCCTACCTCAGTTTTCCACCTAGCTAGGATTATAGGTGTGTATCACCACACCTTGCTTTGTTATCTTTTCTCAGTATAAGAACTATTCAGTCTTACAGCTGGGCATRGTGATATGTGCTTGTAATCTTGGGAGGCTGAGGCAGGAGGATCACAAGTCAAAGCCAGACTCAGCAACTTAGCAAGACTCTCTCTCTAAATAAAATATAAAAAAGAACTGGAGCAATCCAAAAAGACCAAAGGCCAAATGTTCTCACTAATATGCAGATGCTAACACTCAATAAGGAGTGGCGGGGCAGAAGAGAACAGAAGTTTACTGGATTAGACAAAGGGGAATGAAGGGAAGAGATGGGGAATGGGAACAGTAAAGATAGTAAAATGAATCAGACACGCCTGTAATCCCAGCAGCTCAGGAAGCTGAGGCTGAGACAGGAGGATAATGGGTTCAAAGCCAGCCTCAGCAACTTAGTGACACTCTGTCTCTAAATAAAATATAAAGCCAGGAGCAGTGGCACACACCTGTAATCCCAGTGACTCAAAGGCTGAGACAGGAGGATTGAAAGTTCAAAGCCAGGATCAGCAAAAGTGAGGCACTAAGCAACTCAATAAGACCCTGTCTCTAAATAAAAAACAAAATAGGGCTGGGGATGTGGCTCAGTGGTCGAGTGCCCCTAAATTCAATCCTCAGTACCAAATAAATAAATTTAAAAAATTATAAAAAAGGGCTGAGGATGTGGCTCAGTGACTGAGTATCCTTGGGTTCATTCCCTGGTACCAAAAAAAAAAAAAAAACAAAAAAAAAACAGCCTTTCTCTTTTAAAAATTGCTTTCAAGTGACAAGAAAAACACAAATTTCAGAGTTTTTAAGTTTTACAAAGAATACAAAAGCAAAACACTTAAATTTTGCTCACTCTAAATTTTAGTTAATTATTTCCTAGTGCTAAAGATCTAACCTGGGACCTTTACATCCTAAGCAAGTGTTCTACCACTAAGGCCTTGCTCTAAATTTAATTTCTGCCCTCAAACAAACAAAGACATTTTTAGATGAATTAATAGATAATGTGTAATACATATGAACAAAACACTTTTTATATGTATAATATATATACATGTGTGTATATTTATATATCATTTATCATGTCTGACACTGTTCAAAATGCTTTAACTTATGAAAACTCATTCAATACTCAACAATTTCAAGAGATATGCTGTACTATTATTATTTTTTTAAGAGAGAGAGAGAGAATTTTTTAATATTTATTTTTTACTTTTCAACGGACACAACATTTTTCTTTGTATGTGGTGCTGAGGATCCAACCCGGGCCAGACGCATGCCAGGTGAGCACGCTACCGCTTGAGCCACATCCCCAGCCCTGCTGTACTATTATTATTGCTCCACTCTTCATTTTATTTCTAGATAATAAAACAAGCACAAAAAGATAATGTGTAAAAGGTCCAACGAGGTAAAGGAGCCTAGATTTGAATTCCTGGAAGTCTGGTTCTAGATCCTAGTCTTTTTTTTTTTTTTTTTTTTAACATTTTTACTTTATTTATTTTTTTTATTGGTTATTCACAACATTACAAAGTCTAGATCCTAGTCTTATCTACCATTCCTTATCTTCACAGAATTGCAGACATTGAGAATGTGGACTCATATATATACAAATACATTTCACAACACAAAAATAAGTCTGTTGTGTGTCCTTGCTAAAAACCATATGGAATTACCAGAGACAAAGATTACAAAGCATCTCAGGAGTAACAGGTATGAAACATATTCCTTGGCTGATAAACTAGTTTACACTCTAATAAACTGAGAACAGTTTCTGTGGAAGAGTAAGAATGAATGCCAGATTGTTTCTGAACTCCTCATGCCAACTCTAAAAACAATTGGTCCAGAAGAAGACTCGAGTCAATAATAATCAACTCTATAGGTTAATTAGCATCTATCAGCTAGTCTGGCCCCACCCCGTATAATTACGAGGGACCCTACAAAGCATAATCAGCCTTTCAAGATTCAGGGCCATACTGATGGGGTTCCTATGTTAAGTAAATTTTATGCCATTTACTGKGACAGGAACTTATTTTCCATATGATGATATTTAAGTTGAAACAATTCTCTCATCCCACAGAGAAAGAACAGAGATGAACTGCTACCACTAGTATTTCAAAAGGTCTAGCAACCAGGACTTAATATCTTTTGACTTTCTAGTTCACACTTGTAACTGCTCATGCCCCCTCCTTCTAGGATCTCTTAAAGGTAACAAAAAAAACCATTTCCTTTCAACTATAGCTAGTCATCCTTTCAAAGATGTGTGACATCATGTTTAAAATATTTCACTAAGCTGGGTGTAACGGCAGATGTATCGAGTATCGATTCCAGATACTCGAGGCTGAGGCGGGAAGGTCACAAGTTCAAAGCCAGCCTGGGCAACTCAGTCCAGAGACCTCATCTCAAAATAAAACATAATAAAAGATGCAGCTCAGTGATAAATGGCTCCAGGGTTCAATCTCCAGTACCGCCTCCCCCCAACACACAAAAAAGAAATCCTCAACTTTGTCTCAAAGGCCTTGCACTGACTCGGGCCTACCTCACCCYCCACCCAAAGCCATTTTCTACGCCCTGCCCCTATTACCCTTGAAAGGTGCAACCAATTTACAGTCATTCCTCCAATTCGCTTAAAAAACGTGCCCTCCTTAGGAGAGACCAGAGTGAACTGGAATTGGTGGGAGGGGGCTAATCCAGGAGTCAGGGGACAGACACACCCACCCATTGAGATGCAAACTAATCCAAAAAGGGACTGGTTCCTCCTGGATTTTCAGGGTACACCTGGCATCCAGGTGACCTTGCTCCAGGCTACTGAAGCAGCTTCTCTGCTCAACTCCACTCCCTTACCCTCTGAGAGAAGTCTGAGAGAAGGCCGGGCGAAGCTTTCAAAACCAGCCTGCAGCCTTCCTTTGGGCCTCAGGTTACACACAGAGATATCATAGTACGAATCTGAAATGGGTGTGCCAGGAATGAAACCGTCACTTGAGGGCAACCGGGAGATCCTCACTGAGCCACCCGGCTCTGCCCAGGAGCTCCTCACGCTCTCCCCCGCCACAGAGGATCATGGAGCATGCGCAGGCCCAATCCCCGCCCACTTTGTAAGGAACAGCCAATCACCGCGCGGGTTTAACATCGAGCCCTGCTCTGGGGTCCTCGGGGTTCCCATCACACGCCCCTGCGCGCTGCCGGCTTACGACGGGTCCCTCCAGAGCTGCGGAGCTGCGGAGCCGTTCGCTCCAGGTAAGTCGAGGGGTTGGCCGAAGGAAGCCAGGCAGTCCCTGAGGTGAAGCCTGTCTGAGCAGTGGCTTCGTGGGCCGAGACCACGAGCCAGTCCGCAGGGTCTGGTGGAAAATCAGCCCAGACAGACAGCCGGGTTCCAGATCAGTGGGCTAACAGCGAGGGTAGGGGGCCTTGGTAATTCAACTTTCAAGAAGACTTTTGAACTGAATGAGAATTAGTGAAGTGATCACCTTCAAAGAATTACTGTACGCCTTTGGAGTTGGGGCCGTGGAGGTCAGGGAGTGGGGTGGTAGCCGCCGTTTGAGAACCCACCACCCTCCATCACCTGCACCTCTCGAGTCATCCTTCAGTCCTCGCAGGGGCCTTACGGGTAGGAATGACCTTTTCACATTTATACATGAGCAGGTTTAGGGTCAGTTGTGGTTTAAACAGAACTGGGAATCCGCCACAGATTTTATTTATTTATCGAACACTTAAGCCACCAAGAACTTCATAGTCAAGTGGGGGTTTGGACCCGCTAGATAATGAACGGCAAAAGTAGCCAGATATGGTAGTGCACGCTGGTCATCTCTGCACCTCTGGAGGCTGAGGCAGGAGGGTGGCGGATTTGAAGCCAACCTGGGCAATTTGGCGAGATCTGTCTCAAAATAAAAAGAAAAGAAGGATTTTGGACGTAGCAAAGATCAAGCTGTTGTGTGGTGACCAAGGCCTGGAGGCTGAAGCAGGAGTATGGAAAGTTTGAGGCTGCCTGCAATTTAGTGAGACCTTGTCTCAAAATAAAAAGGATTGGGGATGTGGCACAGTGGTTCAATCCCCAGTAGAGAAAGAAAGGATTGATTCTGCTACATAGTTAGGAATTGATTGGAGGCACCATTGTGTATCCAGGAATTAGAATGGTGATAGTGCCTACAGACCGGTTCCGTTTCTGCTCACTTCATGACATTAAAAAGGAGGAAAGGCTGATTTGTGTGTGTGTTCTAGGAAAGGGTGACACAATAATCCTGGGAGTGAGTGTGTTTTATATCCTTTGCACTATGCCAGAGTTCCTTTTCTATACATACTTTCTTTAAAGTATTGTATTCTGATTTTATACGTTTTCCACGTGTTCCCTATGTGACAATGAGCAAGATTCTATTTTGGTAGTGGGGATTGAAACACTGAAATGAAGATAATGAAATTCGAAGGTTTCTGAATGATAGGCTAAGGGAAGGAAACTTTGTCCTGATTAGGGGAGTTATCAGCAGGAAAGATTTAATGGGTTTATTAGGGTACTGAAGACTAAACTCGCCCTAAGGACTTGGCAAGAGCCTGTCTCAAAAAATAAATAAATAAAAAGGATTGGTATTGTGGCTCAGTGGTTAAGTGGCCCTGGGATAAATCCCTGGTAATGAAAATAAAAATTAAAAATAAAAATCACTCATGGAGAAAAAAAAAAAAGACTAAACTCGGGGATGCTTTAGATGCTTTACTACTAAGTTTTATTTGCCCCCTCCCCCCAGTCCCTTTTATTTTCAGATAAGATCTTGCTAAATTATTGTGGCTGTCCTCAAATTTGYAGTCCTCTTCCCCTAGCCTCCAAAATGCTGGGCATTATGGGCATTTGCCACCGGCCTGGCAGATTTAATCAGTTTTACAAGTGAAGGCTTCAACCCAGCATGGTGGCTCACACCTGTGATCCTGAGAGGCAGAGGCAGGAGGATTGAAAGTTCAAAGCTGGCTTCAGCAATTTGGTGAAGTCCTGAGCAATTGAGACCCTGTCYCAAAACAAACATTGAAGCCAGGCATGGTGGCCCATGCCTCTAATAGCAGCTGAGGCAGGAGTATTTCAGGTTCAAGCCAGCCTCAGTAATTTAGTGAAGCTGTAAGCAACCTAGCGAGACCCTGTCTAAAAAAAAAAAAAAAAAAAAAGTAAAAAGGGCTGGGGATATGGTTCAGTGGTTAAGCATCCTTGGGTTCAATCCCTGCTATCAAAACCAAAAAAAAAATTTTTTTTAAGTTAAAAAGAGCTGGGGATGTGGCTCAGTGGTTAAATAAAGTGCAGGCTTGAGCCTAGAATATGACTAAGTGGTGGAGTGCTTTGTGGGAAGGGGGAGAAGCAATGGGCAAATCTAGAACTTGGGTGGACCTTAATTGGATCCAGATTGCATTATATGCCAAATGAAGGCTTCATTGGCCAAGAACGGTGGTCATATATTAGCTACCATTTACATTATTTTTTTTTTTTACAGAGAGAGTGAGAGAATTTTAATATTTATTTATTTTTTCTTAGTTCTCCGGGGACACAACATCTTTGTACGTGGTGCTGAGGATCGAACCCGGGACGCACGCACGCTAGGCGAGCGTGCTACCGCTTGAGCCACATCCCCAGCCCACCATTTACATTATTTTTTAATAACAAAGTGTTATAATTTTTATTTTACAGTTTAAAGAAAGAAGATTCAAAAAAGATACATAGATTTTCCTGAAGATAGGTAAGTAAGTGAGCCGGGATTCAAACATGTCCTGTGGGGTTTTTTTGTTTTTRTTTTTGTTTGTTTTTTTCAGTACTAAGGATTGAACCCAGGGCCTTCAGCATGCTAGATAAGCACCTAGCCACATGCTTAGCCCTTAGTGTTCTCTTAATATTAGACTTTATATAGCCTTTTGCTCTGATAGCTCTTGCTTGTGCAGATCTGAGACACTGAGTCAGACCATAAGTTTGGAAATAATTTATAAATGGAAACTTTCTAGTCCCGTGGCGTTTTTTTTAATTCTGCTGATATAAAGAGAAAGTATGTATAATAAAAACAATTTACTTAAGAAACAAAACAAAACCAACTTCACTTGTCACAACCATGCCCATGTTATTACTCTTACTATAATAAGGAAAGTTATAAGGAAGGGGAGAAGAATAGAAAAAGCTGAGAAAGTGTCTGGTAGTGTGTGCAGGAAGGGGAGACTGTTGTGTTGATGGTGAGGTAGCTTGTAAACTTGATGGAAGGTTTTTTTTTTTCTAATTTAGTTTTTGTTGTTTTCTTAATCCTTTTGGAGGAATTTAATTTTTCTTAAATTTGGGTTTGGAGTTTGTTAGAAATAAGCCAGGGAATTTTCTGCCTTGGATTTTTATTTGAAAATGATATCTGAAAAATTCAAACCTATAGAAAAGTTGAAAGTATATGCAGTAAACCTCAGCATATTTTTGCTTGGATTCACCAATTGTTAACTTTTTCCACATTTGTTCTCTCTCTTCCTTTCTCTATTTATTTATTTGTGGTACTGGGAATTGAATCCAGGGGCACTCTGAGCTACATTCCCAGTTCTTTTTATTTTATTTTTTTTWATTTTGAGATAGGGTCTTACTAAGTTGTTGAAGCTGGTCTTGAACTGTGATCCTCCTGCCTCAGCCTTCCAAGATGCTGGAATGATAGGTAAGTGCCACACTGCACTGGCCTCTTTTTGTTGTTGAACTTTATGAAAGGGAGTTGCAGCCATCTAGATGGTACCCACCCCACATGCTTTAGTACATGTGGGGACATGAACAAGACTTTTATATTTCTTGCCTATGATAATTGTATTATACCCAAATAACCATACAATGTTATATTTTATAGTCCATACTAAAATTCTCATGTTTGGCTTATTCCATGTGAATGTTTTAATGCATTGATGATTATAGAACAAATTTTTAATTTAAGCATCTTTTCTCACCCATAGGAAGGATTCCTCATTGTGAACCAAGGTTACTTCTTTTGAGCAAGAAAAGTCTTAAGCTTGACTTCAGATCATTGAGTGGGATGAGCAGCCACCCAGCTAATATGTGCTAATATGCAATAGGTTGTAGGCTCAGGAGCATACTTGGTAGTAGATTCGGGGGCTTGGGTAAGTCACAGAAGGCTAAACAGGTTTTTAAAGGCTGCCATCAGCGAGCTGAGGCAATTGAACCCAAAAGCTAGTCAGTTTTGAAGTTCTAAGGGAAGATTTCTACCGCTTACCAGGTCTTGAACTCTATAGAGCCAGGCCCTCCTGAAGGAAATACTACTTTGTCCACCACCTTTGTTTATCCAAGGCTTATGGAGTTTACAACTGTCCTGGCAGACCTCCACATGGAGGCTAAGTGTCCCATCTGTCTGAAGCACTTGAAAAACCCAGTGACGATCCACTGTGGGCATAACTTCTGTCTGTCCTGCATCAGTCTGTCCTGGAAGGATCTAAAGAATAGTTTCCCCTGCCCTTTTTGCCACTTTGACTGTCCAGAAAGGAAGTTCAGGAACAATTACCAGCTGAGTAACTTGACTGAAATTGCTAAGCTACTCCCATTACGAAGAAGCAAGAGGAAAAGACAGGAAGGAAAGTTTATATGTGAGAAGCACAAACAAGCTCTGACTTTTTTCTGTCAGAAAGACCTAGAGGTTTTATGTCCGCAGTGTCGTTTCTCCATTGATCACCAGCATCACACTATTTGGCCCGTAAAGAAGGCYGCCCTCTATCACAGGAAAAAATTGGAGTGCTGCATTGACCCATGGAAGGAGAAGGTGGAACAAATTGAAAAAACGATTAGTATGCAAAGTAGAAAATCCCTGGAAGTGAAGAAAAAGGTAGAACATAGGAGAGAAGAACTCAAATCTGAATTTGAACAAATTGCATTGTTTCTTCAMAATGAGCATGAGACTGCTCTTAGGCAACTACAAGATGAAGAGATGGATATTTCAGAGAAACTKCAGGAAAACTTGACACAGCTTTCAGATCATGCCTCCTCATTAAAATATCTATTGAAGGAGATAGAGAGCAAATATGTAAAATCAGAAGTGAAATTACTGGAAAATGTTAAGAGTATCTACCACAGATGTGAATCCTCAAAATGCCCTGAAACTTTTTCATTCAAATTAAAAGATTATGTTTACCAGCTYCCTCCACAATATTCTGGCCTAAGTAGAATTATCAAGCAATTTCACGTAGATATAGTTCTAGATCCTGAAACAGCCCATCGGAACCTTATTATCTCTGAAGACAGAAAAAGTGTGCAATATGGAAGTATGAGAATAAGACCTGATCATTCCAGAAGATTTTATCTCTGCCCGGCTGTTCTAGGTTCTGAGGGATTTCATTCTGGCAGACAGTACTGGCAGGTAGAAGTGAAAGACAAGCCTGAATGGATTGTGGGTGTCTGTAAACACACTCTTTATAGAAGAAGGAAGATTCAAAGACAAACAGTTGTAGTACAGGATGGATTATGGGGAATTGGGCATTGTAGTCAGACTAATTATGTTGCATTGGGTTCTGAGGAAATTAGTATTCTCCCAAAAGTTACACCTAGTAAGATTGGTGTTTTTTTAGACTCCGAAATGGGTGAGGTTTCCTTTTATAATATGGATGATAGAACTCTTCTCTATACTTTTGATGATGATCTCACAGAAACGCTTTGGCCTTATTTCTGCACTGGAACTGACTCAAAACCTCTTAAAATCTGTACAGTAACGGATTCTGATTGGTGATGTATTCRAAGATTTCTTTTTCTTTCAGTTAGTGGATATAACTGAGCCAGTGAATCTTGTTGACAGTTGCTTTTTAAAAAAATGTTTTTACTATAAAAAAACAGTGACTATTATTTCATATAAAATTTTAAGCAAGTTCATAAAAATGTAGTTCCTGATTTATAGGCATATTATGGGGTCTAATTAGGAAATGCTTTAGAAATTCTTAGATAAACTATTTGGGAAAAAAATGTATTACTTTGGAAAGTATTACTTCAATGATTGTTAATAAAAGTGAATTAGATTTTTTTTTCTGGTATTTGCCTACATATTTTCCCTATAAGAAAAATAAGGCCTTTATTAAATGCAAACATAACCATGCATGGACCATACCTGCTCTGTAAAGGTCACCATTTTCAACTTTTATCTGTTTACCCCTATATTTTTGAGTCATGTTTTTAGTCTTGTTAGCTTGCAGTGCTGGGGATAGAACCCAGGGGTCCTTCACATACATCAATCATATTGTCTATTCTATTCTGCTGCCCTTCCTATCTCCCCTACTCCTCCCCTCCTCTCCCRTCATTWCTCTCTATCCAATCTAATGTGACACACTATTTTTTTTCTCATCACAACATCATATATGTGTTCTGTATAACGATGRGGTTTTCCTTCCATCATCTGTGCAATTTCCCTTCTCCCTCTTTTTCCCCTCCCACCTCTCTTCCCTATTTAGTGGTAGTCTTCTCATGCTCTTCCTCCCTATCCTATTTTGAGTCACCCCCCTTATATCAGAGAAGACATTTGTTTTTTAGGGATTGGCTAACTTCACTTAACATAATCTGCTCTAATGCCATCCATTTGCCTGCAAATGCCATGATCTTGTTATTTTTTAGTGCTGAGTAATATTCCATTGTGTATAAATGCCACATTTTTAAAATTCATTCATCTATT